CTCTACATCCGCCCGATCGAAGACCAAGCACCTTGATGACCTGGCCTCAGAATTCGGTTCCGATATTTCGGGCATCCGCCAGAACGAGGGTGAGGCCGCCGAATACGGCATCTACTACGATGACTCCGAGTACGACTACATGCAGCACATGCGCGACCTGAACACGGGTGCTGGCGAGGCCGTATGGGTCGAGGCGGAGGCACCTAAGAACCAGGGCAAGGGAAAGCAGACCCAGTCACTCGAGGATGCGATCCGCGGGCTCGATGTCAAGGACGACCCCAGCTCGCTCGGTGACGATGCGCGCTTTGCACAGGGTCTGCCAAAGGCCAACTATCAGTCCCAGCAGGACGTCCCTGACGCCATTGCTGGTCTTCAGCCCGACATGGACCCGCGTCTTCGAGAGGTTCTCGAGGCCCTTGACGACGAGGCTTATGTCGAGGAAGACGACGACATTTTCCAGGAGCTGGCAAAGGACGGACGGGAGATTTCTCAGTACGAGTTTGAGGATCAGTTCGGCGAGGAAGACGATGGCTGGGAGTCGGACCACACGGCCAAGCCGAACAAGGAGTACAACGACGATGCTGTACCTGAGCTCGTCACCGTAGATGGCGCAGAGCCTACGGCAGCTGATCAGAACGAGGACTGGCTGGAGGATTTCAAGCAGTTCAAGAAGGACCAGAAGAACCCTGGCGTCAAGCCTCGTGGTGCGGCAGTGGATCCGTCCGAGGTTCAGTCGTCTATGTGGACCACGACAACGATGGGCGGTCGTCGCAAGAAGCGCAAGGGAGCGCTGACCAACCCTTCGTCTTACTCGATGACTTCGTCGTCCATGGTCAGGACGGAGCAGTTGACCCTCCTGGACGCTAGGTTTGACAGGATAGAGGAGGAGTACACAAGCGAGATGGGTGGAGGGGACGACCTTGGCTCTGTTTCAGCCGTGTCCGCCATGTCGAGTGTGCAAGGCGAGACTCGTAACGATTTGGACAATATTTTGGACGACTTTTTGGGTAAATTCACAAAGCCTGGCAAGCGCACGAACAAGAAGGCGCGGCCCCAGACTGGCCTCGAGCAGCTAGACGAGATCCGGAGGGGTTTGGGACCTGCACGTCTGCGGCCTCAAGGCTACAGGTAATGAAAGACTAGACGGCTGCAAAAAGCCTCTGTAATGACCTAATGATACCCATTCTTTTCATCTTGGGATGCTGTTGAGTAGTGTTTGAGAAAGATGGTGAATGTTGTTGTAGCTTGCAAGCCTGGTGATGTACCTACCTACCTAAGAGTAAGGTATCTACCTACCTACCTCGGGAGGTAGGGATTGAAGAGGAAAGCCTATATGGCCCTGGGAAGTGCATAGGCTGCCTGTGTTCTTCCCAGCAATCCAATCACGACAGAAGATTGTGATGAAACTGATCTCTATAAGGATTGCACCACAAGATCAAGAAACAAAGGAGTGGATGTTACGCGACCCTATCATCTCATCAGATGCGACGATTTGAGAGGACAAGATCAACGTGATAGCAAGGTAAGGTACCTGAGGCACCTCCCAGCTCAGTCCCACCCCACTGCAAACCCCCGGCACGACTTCTCCAAGTCCACCCCCCTAGCTCCAAGTTCAGGTCACCTTCAGCCCCCCGGGCCGAGCTTCCTCTCAGCGAGTGTCTGGTCTGGTTCAATGGCTCCACTTGCGCGCGAGCTACAGTTCCAGGTGCTACAACATCCAGCCTCGTCACGAAAATCTCCCCGAGTGACGTCCAATCGTTCATCCCCAACCACCGCTTCAACCCATCAACACCACCATCCCACCTTCGGTCGCCGCAGCCTCAAGCCGCGCATCTTCGGCGCACTCGCTCCAAGCGCCGCTGACATCGCAGAGCCCAGCATCACTGGCCTCGATGGCGCGGGCGACGTCCGTTGGGCCAAGCGCAACCGAACGACGACAGAGCGCGACACGATGAACGGCTTCGGATCCAAGCGACGAGCCGGCAGTCCCGCGGACGGCGCAAGCTCCGACGATGGTCGGAAACGCAAGGGCAATGGTGCCCTCGACCGCAAAAAGAAGGCGACGACGACGAACGGCAAGAACAAGAACACTTCGAAGCCTCGACCATCCAACGTGACCGCTTTTGGCGCCGACACGACCAACTATGACACCGATCCCGGCACCTACGATACCGAAGCAAACAGCACGTATGCCAAGCGAATCTACGAGCAGCTGCGAAAGGACAGAATCCTCCCACCGAAATGGCCGTCCGATCCCGGGAACCCAGCGTCCAAGGGCGCCATGGCAAAATACAGAGAGACATCCAAGTCGTATCGCGACCGGGCGCGCGCTTCCTTGATGGCTGCTGGCCTGATTGACGACCCCGACAAGCCAAAACGCCTGGAGGACGCCATTGACTTCAAGGGCATCTGCGAGGATATGTGCCCCAATTTCGAAAAGATCACGCGTATCACCGAGTTTGATGTGCAACATGCCGAAAAGGATCCGCAGACGTCGTTTCCCGTCATCAGCAAGATGGTGAAGAAACTGGCCAGATCGGCGGCAGGCCAGGAAGCTCCCCTACCAATGGACGTTCGATCGACTGCAGCACTCCGCCGGACGCTCGACTATTTGGTGGACGACCTCCTCGAGGACGAAGACAATCTGCCAATCCTGCACGGCTATCTATGGGATCGCACGCGAGCCATTCGACGCGACTTCATCTTCCACTCAAGCATGAGCGCCGAAGAGATGAAGGACCAAGTCTACTGCCTCGAGACGATTGCGCGCTTCCACGTCACTTCGCTGCACCTGCTCTCCCGCCCCGACGTGACGCCAGAGGACTTTTCGGAGCAGCAAGAGATCGAACAGCTGGGCAAAGCATTGCTTTCACTGATGCACGCCTACGACGACAGCAAGGCGCAAGGCCTTGTTTGCGAAAACGAAACAGAGTTCAGGGCCTACCAGCTTCTCTTCAGCGCCAATCAACCAAATATCCTCGACAACGTCCAGCAGGAATGGGCGAACCCTCGACTATGGAAGGACTCTGACGAGATCAGAACCGCCGTCTCTCTAGTCGAGGCATTGCAGAGCACTACTGATTTGCACGGCCCTATGGGTACCGCGCCGCACCTGGCGGTGTCAGGAGCCTACAACACGTACTTCAAGATCGTCGAGAACCCCGGAGTGTCCTATACCATGGCCTGTTTTGCGGAAATTCACTTTGGCCAGCTGCGGCGATCGATGCTCAAGACCTTACGACGAGCTTACTGGAGACCGAAAGTTTTGGCGAGGGACATCACGCCCGCATTACTAAATACCTTCCTGAGGTTCGACACCGAGGACGAAGCAATTGATTTTGTCGAGGAACACGGGATGAGCTGGGTCCCTCTTGAGGATTCGCCGGACGACGAATACAGACAATACCTGAGGACGACCGATGGTATGGAGTTCCCGCGGCTTCATCACACAACCTCAGAAACCATTGTAGAGAAGAAGCGAGGTTCTCGAAGTCTTTCCGAAGTTATCCACCGCTCAGTATACGAAGATCCTTCAGCAACGGCGACTTCGAACCGGGTCGGTACCGAGAAGCCGTTCTTGCGGAGTATAGCAAAGTCACAGAGCACGCCTAATGCTTCGGCATTTCAGGGCTTTCAGAAGCCGACAAACGGTTTCGCAACTGCCCAACCAACAGAAACACCCTCCAGCCAAGGTACTATCATCTATATGTGGCACATTAATTGAGGCCCTTGACAAAAAAATATGAGACTAACCTGTGTCCTAGTATCATCCAATGGATTCGCAAAAACCAATGACGGGACCACTACAAGTCCATTTTCCGCGCCCTCCTTTGGCCAGCCTTCAAGCACCGCCCCTAGCCCTTTTCAAACAACCTCTTCACAACCCGCGGCGCAAAGTCCGTTTGCTTCATTGGGCGCTGCCACGGGACAAAAGCCTCCGCCGCAAGCCTCAGCATTCTCGAGCCCATTCGCCTCTACCCCACAGCTTGCAGGAGGTTCTTCAAGCCAGAAGCCATCTCCGTTCGCCAGCCCCTTCGCTCAGCCAGCAGCTACCGTTGAAAAGGCGAAAGAAACGCCCACGATACCCAGCCCTTTCAGTGCGTTCGGGAAACCCACCGAAGTGTCCGCCCCCGCCCCTGCTGATGCCTCCACTCAACCCCCAAACTCGGCGGCATCACCATTCGGCAGCCCCTTTTCACAAGCCCCGGCAACAACACAACAGCCAAGCCTGTCTTCAGAATCTTCGAGCCCCTTTGCAGGTCTCTCCAAGACTGTGGAAAACCCTACCACTTCATTCGCGGCTCCCCCAGCTGGAGCTGATCAATCAAAGCCTGTTCCGAGTGCCGACGAAGGCCAGGCTGACTCAGGGCAGACCAAGGTCCCTACACTTCCAGGCACAGCTGCGACATTCAAGACACCGCAATTGTCGTTCCCACCACCAACGAGCACAGCAGGGACACCGAAGACTACCTCATCTACACCTTTCTCTTTCCCGCCTGCCACAAGCACTGGGGTGGCGGTACCCCCAGCAGCTACACTGTCACCTCGCAAGACCGTGTCCCCGTTTCCCAGTGTGACAAGTCCGCCATCGACAACGCCAGCCATCCCACAAGATGCGGCGATAAAGCAAAAAGTATCCGAGGCGCCCAAGTCTTTGGCTTCAACCCAGCCTGCAGGACCACAGCAAAGTATCTTGGGTGGCTCGACCTCGACTACTCCGCCCGGAACTGCGGCGGCATTTCCAGCCACGGTCGCGGCCACTCCAACATCAGCAACGGTGCCAGCCCCCACCCAGCCAGCAGCTCCCCCTGCGCCAAAGAGGGACCTTATGGCGGATTTCACAAATTGGTTTGTCAAGGGTGACGAAGGCCTACTGCAAGAGTTTGAGGTCTACATGGTGGAGCAGATTGTCAAAAAGACGTATGACGAGTTTGTCAAAGAAGAAGCAGAGAGGAAACGCAGAGAAGAGGAGGAAAGAGACTTGGCGGAAGCTCGCAAGTTTCAAGTCTACAACCTGAGCGTCAAATTTTTCTACCGTTGGAGGGAAATCGCACGGAAGAACCGTCTACACAGGCGTCGCGTCAGGGATCGGGAGGAATACAAGGCAGCGCTGGCCGAGAAAATTTTCCGCCGAGGCGGCGCGGAAGAAGAAGGCGAAGCAAGTCGAAGCCGCTCGACTGGCCGCTCTTCAGCGCAACAAGGGCACCGATGCGGTTGACGAGTTCAGAGACCTGCTTCAGATGCAGAAGGACAAGTCGCAGGACCACGAGGATGCGCTCTGGGCCAGCGGCGTCCTGGCAGGCATACACGATGAACCGCGAAGCGATTGCCAGCATCGTCAGACACCACATGCCTCCACCAGCAGCACCGACGCCGAAAAAGTGGAAAAAGTCGCTACCTCCCAGCAACGTCGGCATCTCTCGGTCTGAATCGGCCAAGCCCGGCAGTGCCAAGACGCAGGCCTTACGGGAGAAGTTCAGCGCCAGCACCAACAACCGCTCGACTTCATTCCGTCGCTCGCTGCCGTCCAGCACCGGCAGCTCTTCTCTCCGGGCGTCCCCGTCACCGAGCGAACCTTCCAAGCGCCAAAGCAGGGTATCTGATCGTTGGCGCCTAAAGGCTATGGGCCTTGTTACAATGCCAGATGGAACCGCTCTGCCGGAATCGCTCGCCAACTCGATGCGGTATGACGGTGCCAGATACGACGGGTGGGGCTCGTTTGGGCTGGACTCAAAGACACATCACCGGAGCCGTAGCACGTCTGCAGATGTCGGGGCCGCCGCCGCTGCTCGCGAGCGCTTCTCGCAATCTTTCCACAACCGATCGGCATCCGAGGCCAAAGGGCCCAGCAGTGCCTCGCCCACCACGATCAAGCGAAAGAGATCAGCCGACGACGAGCAGAGCACATCAGTCGATAGCGACACGAAGAAGAGGAAGGCAGCCGGCAACGCGGATCTCGAGCAGATCCTACGTGACGCCAAGGAGACGCTGAGCGCCTTGAGGAGCTCGAGGATGGAACTGGACGAGGGCGCTGGCTGGTTCAGGGAGCAGAGCGAGATGATGCAGCAGGAGGAGGCGCTGAGCAGGAGGAGCAGCTCGGCATGGGGCGAGCGGCTATGAGTGAAAGGAGGGGGCAGGGGAGGACTGTACGAGGGACTAGAACGGATTTGCATCGTGTCAGACAAAGCAGGCTAGGCGTTTTGGGAGACGTTGAGCTCCGGGCGGAAACTGGAATGAAAGCACCGGCATACACGCTGGGGAGCGTGATTTATTTTGAAATACCAACACTGTTCGATACATGTCAGCGCATTGTTTACCTTGCTTCACATTGCTATCAGTTCAATTCATGGGTCTTGCATCCTCACTAGATACGGTATCACTCATCCCTGTTTGGCGGGGGAGGTAGATTTGTATGTTTGGTCAACTGTTCATCTCGCTCAATCCCATTACACGCAGCCTTCAGTCATACAAGAGCAGCTTCATCTACTTGTTCGCTTTCGCTTCCTGCCGTCCAAACTCCATCCATGCAGAAAGAAGCCTCTACCAGCTCTACCTCCTTTTCGGCGACGGCGGCGGCGGGAAGAAGTCTGCAGCGTCCGGCTCTCCGTCGGGCTCCCGCCCCCCAACGGCGCCGGCACCGGCACGCCTCTCTTCTGTGCCACAGGCGCAATGGACTCCCTGCCGAGCAGAATGTTCAGCACCTGGCCCTGCGGGTGGCTCTGCCTCGGCGGCGACGATGACGCGGCGTCGCTTCGCGGCTGGCCGGACTGTGGGGGCCAGCCCCGCTGCGAGAGGAGGGGGCTCGCCGTGGCGCCCGAGAGGAGCGGCGAGCCGTGCGATTCCGCGGCTGGGCTGCGCGGGGGGGCGGGGCGGGGCGGAGGCGCCGTACGAGGCGGTGCGCGGGGCATGGTGTACGGGCAGGAGGGCTGTCGTGGAGCGGGTCGACGTCGTCGACGTCGGCCGTCGCGTAGTCTGTCGGCGAGGGTTTGTAGAAAGGCCGACTGCGCGTGGCTGGGCAGGATGGTGCTCAGGGAGAGGGCGTCCTTGGCGTGGCCCTGCGGCGGTGCTCCGCCTCGCCAGGGCTGGGTGGGCGGCAGGCTTGCGGACGACTGGTTCCAGGCGCTGCCCATGTGTGTCGAGATGGATGGGTTCGAGGTGAGCGCCGCGGCCGGGTCGACAAAGGGCTTCTCGCGCATGGCCGCCTCCTCTTCCCCGATCGGGAAGAAGGTTGGTGACCTGGGCGTCAGGTGCGTCTGGCAGCGGAACGAGAGCGATGACGCCGGCCGATGGCGGCGAGCTCCTTTCTTTGACATGTTCTGGCTCTCGCGGCGGGCTTTGCGTTTGCGGTGGTGCATGTAGCCGCAGCCGCTGCCGAGGAGGAGCAGCACGAACCCGCCAATGGCGATGCCAACGATTGCTGGAAGCGTAAGCACTGGCGCTTGTTCCGGCTTCTTGGTCTCAAGCGTCGAGGGATCAACGGCCTCTACCGCTGTGGCGCTGAATATTGTGTCGTTCAGGCCGATGAGAGTGCCGGGATTGGGACGTTGTTGGCAACCAGCGTCCAAAGCTATGAGGACTGTGGCACGAAGTGAGCTTGAGACACAAAAGAAATGACCTGGGCTGGTGGCCTACAGTTGGACAATAAGTGATGTTCACCCCCGACCTTGACACAATCAAGGCATCGACCAAATGCATCGGACGTCATGGCCCCTCCATCAGCATCACAGTATCCATACTGCGACGTGCTGTCTAGTTCCGATAGGTCGTCGGTCAAGGCATCTTCCAAAGGTCCGCAAGCAGATGAGGTGAGGCAGGGCCCTGAACCGAGGCCGGTCGAATCGGGAAAACCAAATATGCAATGGCCGAGCGTGTATCTGAGGTTGTCTGAAGATCTCAGTAAGTCTCCTGGTGATACAAAGGCAGGGAAGAAGAATCCACTTACACAAGAACCACAGCTGATCACGCTCCGAGGTCGTCTCGAAAGGTGACTCTTGGAGACAGGTCAAGCATTGTTGAAATTTGCGGCCCTTGGTGCCGGACTGATAATCAGAGTCGTCACAGGTCATTTGCCGGGTCTGCGTAGATGATGACTCGGGGTCAGAGCGATCAAGATCATCGCTGTCCAAACAGAATTCGGCGCAGGGTGAGTTTGGCGTGACCTGCAGCGCCAAAACAAATGTAGCCAAAAGAGAGGCGAGGAGCCAGCGAGTAAGGACGGTCATGTCGTTTATCTTGATTTGTTCTGATGCTCAGAGATAAGAAGAGAAAGTAGAACTCAAATGAATGTTGTTGAAGCAGACTGCCAGAGCCAGCTTCACAAACGGATATTACTTGGTATCGAAAAGGGGTATCTTGGAACGATTCAGGATTAAAGAACGATAGAAGTGAAGAGCAGTGAGAATCAAAGCAAAACAACAAGTCCAAAAGGCACGACTCAAACGGGAAGACGGACGACAAACACGAGAAATGACATCCCGCTGTGGCTCGATGACGGGTTCAGCTGGTGATAATATATGCCGCCCGCGTCGGCCATCACACGATCATCGGCAACCCTGCGGCGCCTGTTTGCTCGATCAAGGCGGGAGGAAACCCGTCACGGCGGGTCACCGCGAGGAGTATCGCGTGACAAGCGCGAGACATGCAGTTCCCGATGGGGAGTAGATGCTCCCCAGCGCGACTCCCAGAGGCTGCTCGTAGGCTGCTGCCGCTCGCAGCAATCGATAGCGGCCGATGTTCATGCAACAGGGGAGCCTTTCGTGATGGCTCGCAAAGCACAAACGCGACCAATGACGGATCGTCAGCGCGAGGAGTGCTACGCCGAGAGGCATCGCAGGAAAGCCCGGCACTTCCTGTCGCTTGCAACAGCAGGCTGCTGCAGAGTCTGACAGGCTGGAGGTTGCCAGTGTAGCGCTGGTAGCCGAA